CCGAGGTCGAGGACACGGTGACCGTGCACTGTAATGTGACTGCAAATCCTCCGCCGACGGTGATCGAGTGGTTGCGTGACAGCCGACCGGATTTTCGACAACTCGGCTCGATTCTTCGGCTGAGCCGCGTCACGGCCGATCACGCCGGAAATTATACCTGTCGGGCGGTGAACACGATCTATCCCTCTGGCGGCGAGAGGCGAAACTACTCAGCCACCGCTCGGTTAACAGTTCGAGTCAGGCACAAACCGGGTCCAGCCAGGGTCACTCCGGACTCTCCGGTTGCCGTCGAGGGGTCCAGAGTTATTCTCACTTGTATGGCCAGTCCAGCTGGCTATCCAGAACCCAGGTACAAATGGTGGAAGGAGGGTGAGTCTGGAACGATATCGATGCCCTCGGAGAACACCGGCCCGAGATACGAGATCGACTCGGTTCACTTGGGCAGCGAGGGAACGTACAAGTGCCATGCCACCAACGAGATCGGCAACGGAGAAGCCGCGTCCGTTAACCTGACCGTACACCAACCGCCCAAGATACTGACCAAGTTGCAACCACACGTTACCAGGAAGTGAGTATCCAGTTTCCCTGGAATTTTCTCGTTCTCGTTTCTAGAGCGTTTTGTATTCGAGGTTATCAAGAAGACGGAAAAGTTCAGATGCTATCGGGGGCCATTCGCTACGTTATATGCCGGCTGGAAATTGGGTCGGTCTACTTTAAGCCGGGATTAAGAGTTTACGGTTTAAAAGTCGCGGAAAAGTTAGGAACACCTTAGAATACTGGCGGCTATGTTAATTCACAAATAATCCAGAGACCGTTACGCGGGCGCGGGCAAGAGAATTTCGTAGATTGGGGGAAGAAACGCGAAATCGGCCAAACCCCTTTTCTCTTGGCAAAAGATTCATCTTCCATCTCGTGACGGAATCGCAATTATACGGTATACGACGAATAATAAAGAGTGGACGATCAGAAACAGAATACTTAATTACCTTCTTTGCTTCTAAAAATACACAGGAATTATCTTCCCTCGGCCATCACGCGAGATCGTTCAACCCTTCTCTCGAACATTTCCCTGTATTTTTAACGACAAAGAGGACGATTAAATGTGCGCTACGATCGCATCCAAGTACCTACAATACTTTGGTGTAACGACGGGGATGCGTACTTATTCTCAAAGTATAGAAAGACGTCGAACAAATTTTTCTGTCGTATCGCTTCGAATCTTCGCTCGTGAAATTCTCTCATTCGATTAACGTTACTCGGAAACCCAACATTTTTTAACGAAAAGTGCAAACAGGGAAATGTCGTTCACAGGGTCGGCGAGTCATCGTTTCAAGTGTCCTGCGTGGCGCAGGGCAAACCCCGGCCAAGTGTTCGATGGTTGAAGGACGATCAAGAGCTCACCGCGGATGAGAGGCTCTACAAGGTGACTACAACAGCCTCGGAGGGTCACGGGAACGTGATCACCGTGAATTCAACGCTGAGCTTCCTGGGCCATGCCCGACCGCAAACGGACGAGATCGTGGCCAGCGATCGAGGCAAATACACCTGCGTGTTCGTGAACGAGGTCAAGAAGGTCGAGTCGACGATGATGTTGAAGGTGGAACACGAGCCTATCGCTTTGCATCAACACGGCAAAGTCGCGTATAATTTGAGGGAGACGGCCGAGGTGGCGTGCAAAGTGCAAGCTTGGCCGAAACCCGAGTTCCAATGGAGTTTCGGCACCAACGCGGCCAGTTTGCAAGGGTCATCGAGCGACGGTCACTACGAGATTTCCACGAGCAGCGACAACTACGACGTGTACACATCCGTGCTCAGGATAACCAACATCCGAGAGTTGGATTACGGAGATTACAGTTGCAGAGCGGCAAACGCTCAAGGTAGCATCACTTCGACCATTCGGCTGCAACCGAAAGGCGCACCGGAGAGACCCATCAACATCACGGCGATGGACGTCGGCCCTACTCACGTAGCTTTGCTCTGGGAGCTCGGTTTCGACGGCGGATTGCCCATCACTAAATACTTCGTCTCTTACAGAAGAGTACCCGGTGGTGACGAAATCGTAGCGCCGGACTGCGCCGTTCCTAGACCACCGGCTGGTCAGTGGCTCGAACTGGACTGTCGTCGATCTAATCCGTGTAACGTGACCAGTCTAGAACAACATCAGACGTACACGTTCAAGGTTAAAGTGTACAACACGAAGAACCACTCGGACTATTCCGACGAGGTAACAGCAACGACCGCGGTTGCCAAAATTCCGGCGCCGTTGAGAGTTAGCTACGATCCGGAGAGCGGGATGCTAGCCATCAGTGTCGGCGCCACTTGCCTATCGCTGGTGTCGTCGATTGAGAAGTTCGATGGGCCGTCTTCCTCCACGGATGAATCGCAGTGGAGGATTCTCGACGAGTGGCCTCTCGAGGTACTCGGAAGCGCTCCTACTCAAAGGGAGGGTGTCCTGGATGACCTAGAATCTCTCAATACCGAACCTAGACTCAGAGTTAGATTGTGTCTGAAGGCGGATCGGCAAAAATGTGGCGAATACGCGGAGGCTGAAAGTGAGTAACCGCGTTTCCTTTTTTGCTGATTGTAATCGTATTGCATCATAACACAAGGACCATACGGTACTGAACGGTTTTTCGTTTGTCACAGTTGGCCCTTCGTATATCGCACAATCTGGAGCTCTTACAACACCGACGGTGATCGCCCTTGTAATCAGCGGTATCGTGTTTCTGTTGTTCATTACGCTAACATTCCTCTTTTGTCGGTGTCGACGAAAACACGTCACCAAGGCGAAAGACTACGAAATGGACTCGAACGCGTAAGTATTTGAATCTGTTTGGACGATTCGAGGAGAGTTCCAGCTACACGGTGCTCGGATGGGATTTCGATGTTGTTTGCTCGTACAGGGTTCGACCGAGCCTCGTCGCCGGAAACGGACAGCAGAGCCAGGCGCCGCCGCCCTACTACGCGGAGAACAAAGCCCTCGAACACAGTTTGGATCACGCGCTGGCCATGGAGGACTCCAAGACCCCGGCGTACTCGCAACCTGGCTACGGTTACCATCAACCGAACCACAACATCAATGGTAAGAATTTGCCGAAAACATAAACGTTAGTGGCGTAGGAATTTTAAAAAACTGGAAGAAGTTCGTCGGGGTACGAGAGGACGTATCTCGGTTTAGACGCGAATGGGAAAGATACGGTATAAAGTAGAGCGGTTTAACGATGTCTACCTTCCTATGACCGTACTTCTTCCAAAACTCCAACGATTACTTGCGTAGCGACGTGCAATTGCAATTTAGCTTTTCTTTCTTGCGCGATACTTACTCGCCCTGTACGGAGTAAATAAGTCACGCGACTAAAAATTGTCACAGTGCAAAAGTAACGTCCGCTTCTTTTCTTCGAAATTCTCCGTTTCTTCTTCTTACGCTCGTATTCGAGACATAGGAACGTCTCGGCCATTAACGTCTCGGCGTTTCTCGTCGCTTCGAAAATAACCGTTACTTCAACACCGAGCCAACAATTATATGCCTCGGACATGGTAAACAAGAACTTTTTACTCTTAGTTCGCCTAATAAATGGTAATTGATGCATTCGCGTTGACGGCAGGCGTCAACATGGGCTACATGGACAACAGCTACTCGAACTCGAATAACGGGGGCTCGGTGAACTCGCAAGACTCCATCTGGCAGATGAAGTCGGCGGCCGCGAACGGCGTTGGCCAGCCGTACGACCTGGCGGGCTACGCAACCACCGAGTCGGATTACCCGACCCACCCTCATTACCTCCCACAGAGGGAGGATTACCGGGAGAGCCATAATCTAAGTCGACAGCAGTTTTGCTCGGAACCATTCGCCACCGTCGTAAAGTCTCAAAAACACGTCGGTGAGTAGTATTCTTTAGTCGAACTCTCTCTCCCGTTTCCGCCGCGATCCTTCTACCCCGTTTCACCTCCCCTATCACCGTTTCCTCGACCCTTTCCCCACCTCACGCCCCGTTTCATTCCCTTTTATCCAGCCTTAGCCGACGCTCCACGATCGACCCACCACGTCCAGCGATGAGCATTCAATTCTATCTGTCGCAAGTTCTCGAACAATTTAGTTATACGGAAAGTTCGAATCGCCTTCCGAGCGTTATTCGAATCGAAAAATGTTTCAAGGTGTTTTCGACAGTCGTGACAGGCTTAATAGTCGATCGTACAAACTTGGCGGAGTTGCCGAAGCGGTTCGCCAGTCTCGCTAGTTTTCGGATATTAGAATTCCCGCCTGTTACCGATCGCCGATTTTATTTCTCTTTCGTTACGGAATTGTCTTATACGACATGTTTATACAGTGCCACGTACCGAATATAGGTGAGCGGTTTTAAACGGTAAAACGGGTACGAAGTTTCGAAGACGCGTGCCGCGAATTCTAACACCACCGGAATCACAATTTTTTCAATGAAGATGTTCTCGAATTACCCTTAAGTAATACAACTGTTCCAACTTGGCGATTGCGAATTCGAGACCTTTGCAATTGCCAAGAGCTTTTATCGTCGTACCACGTTCGATACGAGGTTCCTAGCCATTGCTATCCACCGCATCCTCTCTTCGCATTCCTCTCTCGTTCTCCGTGCACGTACATCGCCGCCACCGCTGCGTTCTTTTGTTTTCCTACTCTCAACGGCCGTTTGCCGATTGTTTGTCTGACAGATTCACCGTACGACGTGTCCGGTCTACCTTATCAGGAGAACTACGACGAGGACGCGAAGCCACCTCAGCAGGTCAGCCTATCGTACGACGAGAGTCTCGAGTCGGGCTACTCGACCCCGAACAGCCGAGGACGCCGGATTATTCGTGAGATAATCGTTTGAGATCTGCCTACCGGCTC